TCCTCCGCTTAATAGATAACGATATTATGAATAAAAAGTTTTAGGAAAACAAAGAAAATCTCTCTTCTTTCTCTCTTATTGAAGTGTTGGTGATAAAAGCGAATCAACGTATCTGTGGGTTGCCTCCAGAAAAAAAGACAAAGTAGAAACAATCAATATTTGAACTGGCAATAAAAGCGAGGAAAATCGAAAACAACTTGTTGATGCAGTCTCGGTGAAACGTGTGCATACAGAACGTTGCATTCGGCGCTTTTCATTCATCAAAAGTAGAAAGGCGTGTAACGATCGAAACTGCAACAGGTGAACACCCCAGGAGTCGGCTCTAATCTATTTACGAGCCTGATGTCACGGCGCGGGCTTTGTATAAATATGAATCAACAGACATATCTCAAGTATCTTTTTATCATGTTCATGCCTGTATCTCGCGAGATACACTCATGGCAGTAACAATTTTCGAGTGGATGAAAATAATAGGTTCGAGGTTCGCGCAACACGATTGGGAAAGTATTGGCTAAAGGTGATTCGAGTCATTAGTCAGATAACTGATCACGCGTTCGTGTCCAGTTCGCTACACTTCAACGAGAGATAATCGCTGAATGGACGTATTATCGTTAACGCACGATCGATATTCCAAAACCACTTTCTCGCGTAATTAACGCGATGTTTCATAAAAGGCGCAACACAAAAAAAATATCGACGAATTTGCGGGAGAAACATTCACGGTGTAGAGGCGAATGCAAGTAGCGCATAATCAAGGTGAAAATTATTTATGAAATGTTTCTGAGAGCACTTCGCGCGCCTCTAACGTGTGCTCAATTAATAAGTGCTCGACATCACGCCGTTTATTAAATATTCGCTCGGCATTTCGTATGATGCTGTTGCCTGGCCGTGAAATAGAGACCGACAAACATCGAGAAAGAAGCAAAAACAGTGAACGCTGTCCGCCAGACAAGTCGTGTGCGTATGGATATCGTTCTTCGCGCGCGTGTCCCTCTCCTTCTCCCCTCCTACCCTTTTTCTGGGTCCCAGTCGTTTACCAAGGTCATCCGGTTTTAAATGCGGAACTTTTCATCCAGACGTTATTTTGAATATCTACAGATTTCTGTACTTCCTCTACCGGCGCAATGTGTTCTCTAATCGTTTCTTCTCTACTCACTCTCTTCTGCGGACACATCCGATAGATTTTCTTGATGCGATCATTCTCGCTGATGCAATTTGTGTAATCGGGATTAAAAGCTCGGCGACTGTCGTAATACGTACGAGAGCATTTCGCTGACTGGAATACGTGAGACTGTTAGACCAAAAGGTAGATAGTGAGATATTTTGGCACGCTACCTGAGTAATTTGCGGATTCTCTAAGTGAATGTCGATGAATCAAATAACTGGTGGTTATGACTGAATAATTAAGCAATATCGTACTAGTGATATACTCGTATCACCGTATATTCTCTTCCATTTTTCCAAATTTCCTCCTTTTCTAAATTCTTCCTTCAGACAATTGACTTTGCAAATACACGTGGACGGTCGTTACTTCAAGATAATCATATGAATCCTTTCAGGCAACACCCAGGCGCCACGATATTTGTAAAAGCAATTAGAATACGTTATCAATGTTTCTCACAATCGTTCCGGCTCCGAGAGGAGACGTTGTCAAACCAGTCGGTAATTAGCATGAACACGAATATATTGAGAGAATCTTCTATTTTAACAACGTCTCTACGTGCCGGTGTAAATATACAGTACAAAAAGCCGCGATACAGTAGCGCAGTTTCAATATTATTCCCCGTGAGTATAATCGCATGTACATGCATGCAGAATAAATATCAACGCACATGAGTGTCAGCAAGAATCGAACTAAAATTATGTAGAACTTCTAAACCTTCATATAAGTATTCTTTTTCTTTTAATATAATATTTCAGCAAGGAAATAGATTTTTGAAAACGCACAATATTCACGAAAATTTCACGGGAATTTGCGCCTTGTGTTATAAACAATTTATCTGTCCAGCTAAAACAATGCAAATTAATTATATGATGTCATTGGAGACACAAAGAACATTATCTGTTATCTACAATTTGATACGCGATAGACGATCTTGCGGAGAATCAATCGATTCGTTAGAACGACACGAATGTGAACGTAAAAAGTGTATTGCGTCGACATACAGAAATAAAAAAAATCGAACACACGCAGTTTTAAAAAATATAAAATACATAAGATAAAATACTGCGGGATATATTTTACGTAAGACGTGTAACTTTTTGTTTTCCTATGCGAAACGTCTGTCTGTACAAACAAAGCGAGTGAAAAAATTTAAGCATATGCAAATATTTGCAAGACTGGTGAAACCCGATCGACATCACTACTGACATCAGGAAGAAGCCGCGACGCGTCCTTGTACGGCGTCTTATCGCAAGACTAAATATTTCAGTTGGCAAATCACGCATATTATTGACCAAAAAAATATAGTTATATCTGCGAGTATTGATAGGCAATCGCTTGACAAACAGCATTAACCATGCTCATAGATAAGCATCGTGAAAAACGCGAGATAAATATAAACGTTTAAATATATAATGACACGTACACCTCTCGCACTCGCGGTAATCTATGCAAATAGCATACACAAATGAAGATGGACCGATACACATTTTCATTCAATTTGTAAATGCAGATTTGCAAAGTACAACGGCGTGTTAAAAAGATCTCATGAAGTTGACGAATTTCATAGAAACATGCTCAAACTTAGAAATAAAATTGTCAACAACGTTAACATTTATTCGAACCTAGGTGTTTTGAGTCTCCGATATTATTCATATTATTATAAACTACCAATTCCAATAAAATGAATTGTGGGTCAGATAGTGCTCTTTGTGTCACCTTGATATCTTTTTACCATCGTAAGAAATAAAACTTGTTCGCATTGCTTGCACTTTTAACACTTTTACACCTAACGTTCGTTGTATACTCCTAGACAACATAATGTCTAAAATCGGGACATAAGACGTTTTAAAGATCATCTTTAAGATGTCTTTCAGACGATTTACGTATAAATATCTTTAAGACGTCTTAAAGATTATCTTTATCTTAACATAAATAAGATTATCTTCCCTTATAGAAATATCATACTAAGAATCATTGATAATTACTTATTATCCAGTATTTTTAATACTGAAAATAAGTAATTATCAATGATTCTTAGTATGATATTTCTATAAGAGTAGGTCGTCAAGTAAAGCGTTAAGTATCCCACACAGCACGTAATATTGTAGAAATATTGCAGTAATATTGCAATATCCCTAACAGCACGGGGACGTTCTGAGGACGTTCTGAATAGATCGCAATGCGTATATTGCGATTATCTCAGAATGTTCTCATATGTACTGCGATCGACAGAGTATGTTCTGAGTACGTCCCTATGTCTGGGGTAACAGCTACCATAGAATTTCGCTGCGAATGTCGTGCGAACGTTCGCAGCGATGTCGGCAGTCTCAGGACGGAATAAAAACGGAAAGATTTCAGTACATCACGTATATCCCTTATAGAAATATCATACTAAGAAATACTGAAAAATTATTAGTGATTAAATATTACCAGTAATTCAGTAATTTTTTGGCCAGTATTTAATTTCTGCCCGATGAAAAATTTTTCATGCAAAATTATGTATGAAATTTGTCCATACATAATTATGTATAATTATACTACCCTTATAGAAATATCATACTAAGAATCATTGATAATTACTTATTATCCAGTATTTTTAATACTGAAAATAAGTAATTATCAATGATTCTTAGTATGATATTTCTATAAGGGTTATGTTCCGATTTTAGATATTATGTTGTCTGGGCTGGTTTTTTAGACATTGTGTTGTCTGTCTTTAGTAACAAGGGGTGCTTTCCAATTACGTACATTGTGTTACACAAAACTAGTTTATTGGTTGCATATTATCTTACAAGATATTTTAGATAATATGTGACCAATAAACTGGTTTTGTGTAACACAGTGTAACGTAGCTGGAAAGCACCCAATGGCTGCGTTCAGCAGAGAAAGTTGCTTTGCAACTGTTGTAAAATTCGTGAATCTGATTGGTACATGCTCTTGGATTCAATTAAAATTAAGAGCATGCTCCAATTAGATTCACGAATTTTACAACAGTTGCAAAGTAGCTTCTCTGCTGAACGCAGCCAATAGCTCTCATTGGATTTCGTTCGTCGCATCTGGTGTGCAACGGGCATTGGGTGCAAAAGTATTAAAAGTGCAAGCAATGCGAATAAAACCATTAATAACATTCTTAACAAAGTTGACAAATACAACAAACGTGCTTAACTGTACATTTAAAAACGTGGATACTGGATTTTATGAAAAATATTTGATTTAAAAAAAATATGATTTTATATTTTTATATTTTACAACAAATTTTACAAGTTTACGTGTTAGATTTTTCTTTAACAAATATTCTACATATTCTGAATACTGAAAAACATTATTTTACAAAACATTTGAACAACAAAAACTTTTGAATGATATAAAAATTAGAATATTGCACAATATGTATTTTTTTGTTATTTGTTACATATTGTGTTTCCAACAACTAGTAAAAATTAGCTGCGCGTGTGAAATTGATACGAGACAAATTTTTAAAATAAACGTAATTCTCGTTGACATATTACACGATTGTTATTTCTGTTTAAGTAAGAGGGTCAACGTAATTATGCAAATTACAAATAAACTCGGGTCGGATCGTGAACTTACGCTATCGCGTATTGTCGAGGTCTCGTTGTAATGTTTCGTATATCGCGTTTATTGAGATAATAATTAGATGAATTAGATGGTAGTATAATTAAATTTATTTAGAGTTTATATATAAGAATCCTAATTTAAAAAATTTGTAACTAAATATCTTCGTGGTTTATGTATTATACTTAATAATATGAATAATATTGACTAGAAGTATTAAGTGTACAATAAATGAAAAAATTATATTTATTCACATAACTTACATAGTTGCTATTTTTATTGCATTTTAGTATTCACATAAGATATATATTGCAAAATTGGTTGAATTATTTAATAGATAAGTTATATTAAAACTTTGACGTATCTCATAAGTAAATTTCTTATGAATAGATATCTTACATATATATATATTTATATCTTACTATATTATAAATATTATTTACTGTACACATATATACATAGCTTGCCGCAAACAAAACATTAATTGAATAAAAGTCTGTCAGGATTTTCTTGGTTCTCATGCTGTCACTGCCACTGGTTTCTGAATTTTTTCTTTCGTACGACCTTTATCTTGCTCTGGCAAGTCCTCTGGCACTTCTGGCAGCAGAACATCTTCTGGTGCTTCAGGAACTTTATCCTCAATCTCTGCTTCCAACAATGCATCCAATTCAGCTTCAACTTCACTTTCATCCTCCTCAGTGAGCGTTCCAGACAATATTTCATCTATTTCCTTTTGCTTCTCAATACCCTCTGTTGTTTCGTCCATAACCTTTTCAATCTCATCAATAGATAACAAAGCATGCAGCTGTTTCAATGCATTATTGCCGACTTTTAGGCCATCAACTACTTTCATCTCAATTTGAGCAAATTCTAAATCATGAACCATACGTTCAAGATTTTCCAACTGACCATCTGTACGTGACAGCACTTGTTCTTGAAATCTTTTCTTACGCAGTAGAAGCAATGCACGACTGCAAAAATTAATAATAAATGTATATCTATGATACAAATAAATATAACACTAATAAAAGACACTGATGTTTCTACGCGGTGTCTAAAGATGAAATAATTTGTACTTACTCTTTCTTCCCATTTTTCAAAAGTTCTTTAGCGATCAGTCGTTCTTTCTCCAAAGTTTGCTCAATTTTCTTTTGGTATTGCTTAATTTTATCTCTTGTTTGTTTCAGTTGCTGTATAAACATAAAAGCGCGAATGACAGTTTTGAGGTTATAATGTGTAAACACTATCAACATTTAGATACAACGAGTAGTATTTCCCGTTTAAACTATATTGCAAATCGAATAATTACTAACAATTCATAAATTATATCAGACACAATCAATAATAAAGGAATGATTAAGCACTTTCAAGTTTGAAAAGGTTAAGTCATTCACTTACCAAAATTGCTTTGTCCTGTTCGGTAACGCGACTCTGATGTTTCTTTTTTGCGAAAAAGATCCCCATTTTGGCTATAATGTCACAGGATGCAAATTCCGAGTTAAATTAACATTCGATCACGTCAAGTCACGTTTGACAGTTGTTATCGATAACCTTCCTACAAGGCTGACGGCGACCATGTAGCCGTTCAAGATTTCGTGATTGGCGTTTGCAACCTTTGCTAGTTTTGTTTTTATAAAACATGAATAATATTTTAATAGTGAACAACATTAAAATAAAAAAGCAGCGTCCAAATCGACTACGAACATTGTAGCTTCTTGATAATTAATTATACAAATTATAGTTCGAAAATAAAATTACTTATCGTTAAGTTTTACTTGAAAGTGAAAAAATTATCAAACCTATCGTTGGGACACACGTGCTTATCACGCGAAACTATAATCTTGATTTCTCATTAAAAACGGTGGTATATATCTCATGGTAGAAATGTCGAAACATATAAAATGAACAAGTCTAATTCTAAAACATCGTTTAGCTTGATTATGAATTTTTTTACAATTCACTTTTGATAGTTTCATACTAAGGAAAAATGTTAAATAATTGAGAAAATCCAAAATTCGTGTGAAAAGATGCATAATTGATACCCTGAAACTCGGACCCTACAAAGGGTGCGTTCCATTTAACACTCGGGTCATTGCGAACGTTAAGTGAAACGCATCCAAAGCTGACTCTACTTTACCGAACATGTCTTTCTCTAACACCAATAGATGGCGCCAGAATATCTGTTTTCGAGCGGTATTTAGCAGTGTGCCCGAGGCCATTTTGATTTTCAAATCGTACGGATCAACATCGACGCGGAGAAGCTCCCTATCTTTCCGTAGCATCGGACGACAGATCGGGCATCCTGCTATCTCTATCGACGAGGAAAGGAGTTATGCTGATCTGGCGGTGAGATATATTGTTGGTATTATGAAATCCGCGCGATTAGAACTTCGCGGAGATTCGAGCAAAGTTTCACGACATTCGTATATAAAAACGTATGTGCGTGTTCGAACAATGCAATGCTCGGGAAGAAAGATATTCATCGGAGAGTGTTCAAATAAATGTTAACTGACACCTTAACAGAAAATTATAATTTGAATATAAGATAATCTGACTCGCTGTTGAATCATATTTGAAAACAAGGAAATCATCTAACCTACCGTCGAGGCGTATTTATTACTTGAAGATATAACTCTGATTTTTTACGTTGAAAACGGTTATGCTATCTTGTAGTGAAAATTCCGAAATAAATAATAATAATGGGTCTTACCGTCTCTTAGCTGAAACTCGAACCCTACAAAAGTGATTCTACGGCCGGTATTCATAAGCGGATCTTATATTTAAGAACGTCTTAAATTTATCTTGAGATGATCATTTCATTGGCTATTGAACAAAGATAAACTTAAGCAGTCTTAAATATAAGATCCGACTATAGCTGCGTTCGGAAAGACGCTATTTGGCACTAAAAGCGTGTTCTGTTCTTATTTAACTTTCAGTAAGTAACAAGGATAGAACACGCTTTTAGCGTCAAATGTCTTTCCAAACGCAGCCTACTTTACCCACATCAGTATCAGCCAGCTTTTCTCTGATACCAATAGGTGGCGCCAGAATATCGGTTTTCGAGCGGTATTCAGCGGTGTGCCCGAGGCCATTTTGATTTTCAAATCGTACGGATCAATATCGATGCGGAGAAGTTTCCTATCTTTTTGTGGCATCGGACGACAGATCGAGCATCCTGCTGTCTCCATCGACGAGGAAGGGAGTTCTGCTGACCTGGCGGTGAGCTGTATTATTGCTATTATGAAATCTGCGCGATTAGAACTTCGCGAAGATCCGAGCATAGTTTTGCGATATTCGCACGTAGAGACGTTTACGTACGTGTTTGAACAATGCAGTACTTGGGGAGAATGCGCGAAGAATATTCGTCGGACAGTGTTCAAATAAATGTCAATTGACGTCTTAACAAAAAATTATAATTTGAATATAAGATAATCTGACTCCTCGTTGAGTCATATTTGAGAGAAATCATCTAACCGGTCGTTGAGGCATACTTATTGAAAATACAATCCTGATTTTTCGTTGAAAACGAAATTTAGTTGTAAAACGATTTTTAGTTGTAGTTATTTCGTAGTGAAAATTTCGAAATAGATAACAATAACGTGTCTGATCGTACAACGTCGCTTAGCTGAAACTCGAACTCTACAAAGCTGTCTCTATTTTATCGAACGTGTCTTTGTGTGACATCGGTAGATCGCGTCAAAATACCTGTTTTCGAGCGATATTCAACAGTGTGCTCGAAGTCATTTTGATTTTTAAATCGTAGGGATCAACATTGGCGGAGAAGCTTCCTATCTTTCCATGGCATCGGGCGACAGATTGGGCATCCTATTATCTTCATTGACGAGGAAGGGAGTTTTGCTGACCCGACGGTAAGTTATATTATTGCTATTATGGAATTTGCGCGATTAGAACTTCGCGGAGACTCGAGCAAAGTTTCGCAACATTCGTACATAGAAACGTGTGTGCGCGTGTTTGAACAATGCAATGTTCGAGAAGAAAGATATTCGTTGAAGAATATTTAGATACATATTAATTGATGTCTTAAGATTCCTTGCCGCGGAACTTTTGTTTGGCAAACCCAAAATTCCTGCAAGGTATATTGAAATAAATAGATATATACGAAAACGACACTTATAATCGATTAAACACACATCTAAAATGCTTCATTTTCCTTTGCACAAACAATTAATATATAACCGTAAAATTAACGTGACATACAACTTTCCTTTTTAATTTACTTTTCTTCATTAAGTTTCCTGATTATTTTGTCATGTTAATTTTACGGTTACTTCTTGGTAGAGTAAAAGAAAAATGTTTGGAGTATTTTAGAAATGTATTTAATCAATTGTCATTTTTTGCATATTTTTGTATTTTAATCTTGCGTATTTTACACAAATTTTGGGTATGCATCTCCTTGTTTCTACGTCATCAATCAAGATTCACGACAAGGGATCAAGAGCCTTAAGGTAATTTAGTTTGCAACTGTGATCATGCATCTATTTCTTAATATTCTGTCTCGCGTTTGTTTCGCGACTTATGAGACTTTAATCGCGTTACGCATTTTAATCTTGGATTGCTCCAACACTCTTTAACTATTTATAGTAACAAGATGAATATTTTTTGAAATAGTAACGCGCTAGAGAAGTATACGGTTATAACAAATAGTAGTGAGCCTTGCGTTTATCTTATACTAGTTTGATCTTTCCGTTGAATTTTGCATTGTGCACACAAGCATCTACGTTTAATCATGATTGAATCGATTTCTATTTCATGATTTCACATTATGATAACAACAGATCATGTAAGATCGTGTTGGGTGATGTTCGATAATACGGTGATGGGTAGGAAGTAATAAATCACAGAGACATTAGATTGAATTGAACAATGTCCATTATATTATATGTTTTATTCCCACATACACACGGCACGTTGTGAACCTTTTCTTAAATATTAATAATATTATCATAATAATAATAATAATCATATATAATCGTTCTCATTATCATCTTCATCATCATTATTCTCATCGTCGCAATGATAATAACTTCAATAATCAGAAGTAAACAATAATAAACATAATAATGTGAATTCATGAGTTATATTTATATTTATGTATATATATATTTATAATAAATCATATAGCAATAATCATTGTATTATAATATATATTTATATGTACAGAGAGGGGTATAATATTGTTATTCTTTATTAGTTTAATATTTATAATCGCAATATTATATATTTATTTTTGTTTGTATACATACACAATTAATTAGATTATCGGCCCTCGCACGCGCCACACTGTGGCGGATAATTTCTCACTTTCTATCTTTTGTTCCTACCTCGCTTTTCTCCTCACTTGAATATCCCGGGACCGAGTATTCTCCCCGCTATAGTCGCTCGAGTATCGCGCAATCGACCAATCCCGTATTATCTCTGCTTTTTTTTCCGTTTGAGAGAAGCATCGCCGACGGAATCCGAAGTGCTCCAATCGATCGATCCAATCGATCGATTCGCTTCCTCGAACGCAACCTCGGCGTTCCCCGCAATCGTTTTGTCTTTATCTTACAAAACATCCATTATAGTCTGGCCGCTTTTGGACAGAGAATCGAGTTCCTCCCGCCGCTTAACTTTCGCCCTCTCCTCCCCCTTTCCTCTGCCCCCGGCTTCCTCGCTCGAGTGATTGAACGGGTTATGTCGATTTCTCGCGGCGATCACCCGTCGCGATTTTTTTTTTTTGACATTTGCGAAAGGAGGACTCCTCGGTTCTCCCCCCAGCAGCGGGCTCTTCATAAATATTCTGTACAACGTTATAATTATTATAAATCATCAATATATCTTATATAGTCTTATCGTTATGTCATTATTATCGGTAGTGTAAAATTGAAACCTTTACGTACTTACGTAGATTAGATTAGCGTCTGCTCGCTCGCTCGCTCGCTCGCAGGCGGCCTATCGTTATGTATATATACCATTTTTTGTTCTTTTTTCCTTTTAAGTCGATACATAATCGTATAATTTAGTATATCGCTATATGTACTGTAATCGTTTACGATTAGTAAGAATATGTAAAATTGGTATTTTTTTTTTCATCTTATCTCTTGGCTTGCTCGTTTATAATTTTAATAAATCTCGTTTAAGCATCCACATAATCGTTTAATATACATGGAATTAAAATGGGCTTAGTTATTGCTTGTTATATTGCAAGTTTCCTCATTGCAAGCTGTGCCATAGCCGTCGAGCTTTCTCGCGTTCGCCGTTGCTCTTCTCTTTCTTTTCTCTATCTTCCTTTCTCTTACTTTTTTAAATCTTTCTTTTTACCGCTATCGCGATCCTTTCGCTGCGAATCACAGAAAGTATGCTCGAAAGTTTGGTTTCCCTCGTTCGCTGCATCACCGATGTGAACGTTATGGCGACATCAAACCTAATGTATCGTGTGAGTGTTTTGCCGAAACGTCGTAGGGTTGTTTTTGAAACGAGTCGAGATTTATATAATGCGCGTTTTCGTAACGTCAGAAATCGACGACAGTACATATTTCTTAATTCATCGGTTGGCGTCGGCACGAAATAATAACCCACGACAACGCGCGAACATACGAATCATTCAGAGCGTTTAATATATAATAATGTGAATCTTTCGGATCATAATTTTTATTAGTGCGATGGCAGATCGTTCCGTGCGATCGTTTACTTTTCTGAACAACTTAGCAAACGTTTATGTCATTGCACATGAATGTGTCGCGTGAGAAGGATGCTTCTGTGAGTATACAGTTCTTCAAACAATATTTACACATAATTTTAGAAAACTTAGAAACCCAAAAAGGGGCATTTTCCTTTTTACAGTACATAACGCTCCAGCACGTCGTTATTTATTGCACATGAGAATAAAATAGAAATTTTCCGAACGGTTGATATATAACGCTAAAAATTACTAAGCCGTGTTACACGCGCGCAGATTCATTTGATATGTAAATTTTAACGCATGTAAAACCAACCTATTTTCCACTTCATGTGCTCTGGGTAATCGAAATGAGCGCGCTTCCATATAATTTCGCGACGTCAAGGTAAACAATGTCGCATGACGGTGTAACGAATCGTCGAGGTAATTGAACGAAACGCGATCGTAAGATATTCGTGTTCCTTTGGCTTGAACGGACAGGTAGCTTTGAGACGTAGCACGGCTATTGAGAAGTTACAAGGAGTACAAAAGAGCGCTCCGATAGTGTAGAATCGCGCATTGCATCAATTTATATGGTGCAATTTAATTTGAATCTGTGAGAGCGCGCGTCCCGATTTATTATAGACGGTCGTTCCGAATCGAGTTGCATCCATTGAACTGCAGTCTTGCGGCAGACGATTCGACATTTTACGCGATAAATATATGTATAGATGTTGTACAAAGCGGAAAGTATATCGAAAAATACGGTCGCGGACGAATGCCCTGACTGAACGTCGAAGAGCTAATCGAGAATGCGACGGGATGACACTCGCGAATCGCGTTTGACGAGCGACGAGTCCCACGAAGAATCAACAGTTCGAGATTCGATGACTATGTAGTGCTACAAGCACCAACTGAACGGAAGAAACATCTTTGCGGGACTCGTTCCTCACCGAAGCGTCCATACGCAATTACCACCGCCGTGCTGATATCGATAAAAATTGCTAAGAATCATGTAACGCCAGAACAATTATGGCAATTTTTTGACGAAATTCAATTGTGATGATGATGATTAGTTTGACAGTTAGCAGAAACCTTACTGAAGTTCGCACTTTTGCATGTAGGAAGAATATATTAACAGTGTTGTCGATTACGTGTAACGGCACATGTATGAACGTACGCAAAGTGTAATTACATCGTCATATATTTAGAATACCATGATGCCTCGTGTGAGTGTATATACAGGATGTTTCGGTATCATAGGTAAAAATTTAAGTGCTAATAGAGATCAAATAAACAAACGAGTGAGTCGTAATAAACATAGATCCGCGAGTCGATCGTTTTCAGGATATTCAGCTTCTTTCATTTTGTAAGCTAAGATCTCTACACAATTACATGCACTGTAGAATGACTGATACTTCAGATATTTTGAAGTATCAGCAATCTCAGAGTGCACACGTTCGTTAAATCATCTCAGCCGATGACGATGGTCGCAGTTGCGAAGAGTTCAATATATACATATTTGCAACTTTTTAATATTGTCTTTCCTTTTGTACAATTTCATGAAACAAATTAGATTAATTTTCACGGATAGCAAAATCAAGAAAGAATCTTCTAATTATTATTTCTTTTTTTTAATGCATGTCAGATTAATTTAAAATACAAAAAACGAGATTTTACAGTATTATCGATCTAAGATTGCTATCGTAGATTCATTTTCGCTTCAGTCTAAGAAAGACCGACATTTTCTCTCATGATAATCTAATTTCGCTAATTGATCTTCATCTCGAAGAAGAACGTCTACACGTCTGTCAGAAGTGCGAGGTTTTCCAACGGTCTATATTTTTTTAAGTCGCCACAACCCCTGCGAGTGGAATTATCGACGACTGTATCGACCCGCGTTCTTTATCTTTAGCTCGACGCGCACGCGTGGTGAGTAGCGAGTCCGCATTCCAGCACGTAATAAATACAGCTGGGAATACAGACTCGTCTCCCCCTCCCTGTAACAAGTGCCGCTTCCCACTACGTGGCCTCCGGCGGACAGAGTGGAGATGTAAGGTCGATGACCTCACATCGTTCACACCCATAGTGATGTTTACCAGCGGACAGAGATTTCGAAGGCTCGTTATTCGCGAACGAATCGACGTAAAAACGTGAAACGAACATCGATCTTCTCGTTATTCGATCGTCAATTCGAAGAACGACTGCAGCCAAACGTCGAGATAGATGTAAGTGCGACAATGTGGAGATACTCCGCGCATAACACATCTCCTCTCTCTCACGACAGATTCGTCTAGATTTCCTTCTTTGTCCTCTTCATTCGTGAGAATAAGACTAACGTTATTAATGTAGATCGAAGCGAAGGCATAATTGAAACGTGGCTTACAAGATAGAAAGCTGAATATTCTGAAAGCAATCATCTCTCGCAAACCTACGTTCATCGAAATCCTTTTGTTACAGTTTTTCCGGGAAAATTCTATTGGCTAATTAATTGTTCATTTATAATTCCGAAACATCTCGTACAGCGTATATACATATTTTGTATATTTATATATATATATGTATTTGGGGTTATATTTATATTATATATTCGCACGCGCATCCGCGGATGGATCGTCGTCGTCGCTCGTCGTTTTCGCTAATGTATCGAACGTATCGCCGCTTAGCGAGCCTCTATCAACGCAAGTAACTTAATACCCGACGACAATGACGACGGCGACTCACCCTCGGCACATGCCTCGAAAACCTGACAAGGAAGCTGAACGCATTCACTGCCGATTCTTATTTGTACGAACAGCTCGCCGCGGTCGTTCCGGCTACGCGGCAGTGGCCGCGGGAGCGAAGACAACAGTGCGCTATGGTCGGCAGTGAATGAGTTGGTTAAACAAGCGCCATTGAATTGTTAACGAAAAAGGAGCGTTGCGATACGACAGAGTTCATGAGTGAGATAAACGCAATTGAAGATGCCGTCAACGTCGCGTGACAATGGGTATAAAACGTAACACTTAATCGTAACGCGACTCAACGCAGAAACGAAAACAAAACAAAAAAAGGAAGAAAAGAAAACTGAGTCCGCTTTTCCGCGAGGAAAATCATCGAAGTACTCCGGTCGGACTCTTGTCTTACTCGACTCCGTGATTCAAGCTTAAGACTAGATACACGCCAATCGATTGATTTACCGACTCGAGACGCTCTCTCTTTCTCTCTCTCTCTCTCTCTCTCTCTCTCTCTCCTTCTCTCTCTCTCTCTCTCTCTCCCTTGACACTCAACCGATCGACTCGTGCTTCCCTTTCTCGTCCGGAGCGCTCTCGGGATATTCTAGCCGCCAATTCTGAGGATTCGGCAGGGTGTCACTTACGAATCCTTGACGAGTTCGTACGTGTCCCGGAGAGCGAGTGCGAGCTCGCGCTTACGGCGGTTTATCTCTACTTAAGAGTTTGACTTTTGCTTTCCCGCCGAACGAAGCTCGGCGATAGAACTTATCATCCACTACGGGACCCTTCGTTCCGGTTTGTCGCTCTTTCGGGCTTCTCGGCGGTAAAACTTTCCGGCGAATACATAATTAGGAGTAACTCGGAGCACGGACACGAATCTGAGAGTTTTATTCCCCGGGAGCGATTCGCAAGGTATAACCGCGGTGTACAACCGCGAGAACTTTACGACGAACGTAGAATTGAAAGCGACTCGATTCATTCGTCTAGTCGCGTCCGACATCTCGGGAACGATCTTTCCGTCGCGAGCGTTTGGGACTGAAATTTTGACGACTTGTGCTGTGAGAGTGTGGAGTATCCTTAAATGTACACGCCGGATGACTCGAATGGGCCGAATGTACCTCCGAAAGTGAAGCACGCAGTCTCGGGAAATACTTTTAGTTTATGCGAAATATTGCTTATCTATCTACGGGCTCCGGCGAGCTTTTTCGATATTCTCGAGCCATTCACATCGCGGGAAGAGCTACGGGGACAACCCGATCGCGTCCTCTTTGCAGACTGCCTCGTTCGGCGGCTCGTTTGCGTTCGAGGAAACCAAAATCAAACGCGCAATTTCGTGTCGCGCAGCGAAAACACGCTAAACTAGCCGCACTAGGAAACGTATTTTAGTCGAGGAATAGAGGGTGCATAAAAAGTGATCGTAGGATCGATATCGACAAATCCGTGAGAAGAAGTGCGATCTGACTTCCCACTGTGTGCGTGCTGCGTTTGTGTGGGTGTGTCCCTGTACTGGCCGTTGTGTGAACACGCGAACGCATATGTTTATGTATGTGTGTGTATGTGTGCCTTTTTGGGTGAATGTGTTGGTGAACGTGTATGCGTTCATCTACTGTAGCAAATGTGTTTGTGTTGCTTGTTTGTGTGTGTGTGTGTGTGTATGTGGTGTAAATTTATATATCTTGATCGCAGTTAGAGGAAAACATGTATGTCGTAAGAATCTTCAACGAGAGCCCTGTCTATCGGTGTCTTTGAAAGTGTCGACGTCGTGAACTCGCGCGATTGTATATAGTGTATGTAACTTTTAAATATTAATTAGAACGTGTTCTGCCCGCGGAAAAAAGCCGTGTGTATTCTTACCGAGGGGTTTGAGCTTGAACGAGTGTATTTACGTAGTTTTAACTGTGGGTTTCGCGCGCGAGCAATTATCGCCGCGCAATTAGGCAGAAACGCGGAAAAGTTTCGCGTAAACTTCGTAATGGATTATATACGCGGCCACGTGCGGTGCGCCGTAATACTCGTCTATTTTACTTCATCCGCGCGAAATAGGCGATAACAACAATTAATCACGAAGGATTCGCGCGTGCGATCCGCTACTGCGCCTCACCGTTTAAATTATTACTCGATATTAAATTATTACTCGATATTGCTTTTTTCCATACGAAGTAACTGTGCTTGAACGACATTCACTCGTTTCTTCTCTCTCTCTCTTTTTCTGCCTTTCTTTGTTTTTTTTTTCTTTTCGCTTAACAACGTCTCGAGTAACGCGATTCTCACTGCGAGAAACGAGGGGGAGAAAGAAATATCTCGATCTGATCGACCATCGCAGAGCCAAGAATCAGCGTTGATCCTTCCCTGACCACTGTTTGCCGATATCCGAACACTATGAAAGAGAGTCGATAATTGATCGCATTCCGTTAAGTTCATATAAGTGCTTTGATTTCATCTATATTGAATACTCTTTTATATTATGTATACGTGTTTGTATGTGTGTTTTATAATATTTCACTTAAATCTCTTGACGGTGTTCCGATATCATCACTGATACATTATGTTCACGTAAGGTGTCAGACATTCTTTTTCCTCTTTTCGTTTGAAGCCGGACGAAAACACTGACCGATTCGCAATGAGAATTGACGTCACGACGCGAACGGGACCATTGCGATCGTGTGTATGTATCTGTGTGTCGTGTGCGTATGTGTATGAGTATGACTGTCGTGTATGCTGCAAATGAATGTGTGTCGTGTGATGTTATAGCGTCTCTTGTTCAATCTCCGGTCATGAAAACTTCCCGCCTTATTGGTTTGTCGCTCATGCGCGAAGTAGTAAGTTGCTTAAATAATTAATTAATGTCTGTCCGCATGCTTTTGTCATCCCCTCTCTTTTCCCCTTTCCTCCTCTCTGTTTCTTTCTCTATACGTTTTCCTTGTCGTATATATGTATATTACGACAACCGATGTACAAATCGGCCGTCATAATTATTATCTTATTATTTATATGTATGTATGTATATATCATGTGCAGTCGCACGAGGGGCGGCTCTGAACACGACGAGCGATCGATGTCGTATTATTTCATCTCGTCTACCTCATATGTCCACCTCATATGTCCATAATTAATTCGTTTTTCATCTAAATAGGTCTTGTAAAAAAAGCTCTTGAGAATCGCGAATAGGCTCGTAGAGAGTTTAGCCTACTCTAGCCGCGCCTCGCGCAAACAACTCTTCTCCTCCTTTTCTTCCTTTCTTACCCACCCCGTTCTGCTCCTCTCGCCCCTTCCCCCCCCCCCATTAATTATATCGCAATCGGTGGTGATCCAAAAGTTTCAGTACAATAGTATATTAGCTTTAAAACATCAATAACTATATATACAAATGCATAAAACAATGTCTCAATATATCTGTTCATCTCCATAATCCTCATATTTTCTTTTTCGCCTATATATATATATATATCTCGTTTATATATATATATAATTATAATATATATTTTGCCTTTCTTATATAATCATTCAATAAGTATATTTATATATATATATGTATATTTATATATATATTTATATTTATATATTTATATTTTTATATACTAGAGATATATATATGTAATATTTCAATATTATATAATATATTTCATATTTATAAATATAAACGCGCCTGGACTATAGTCACATATATTTTGCTTGCTCTTGTTTTCCTACAAACTCATCTCTCTTTCTCTCTCTCCCTTTCTCTCCTCTTTTACACTTTTATCTCTTGCATACCCTTTCTCATTCTTTCTCTCTTGCGCTCTCATTCTCTCTCTCTCCCTCTCTTTCTCTCTCTCTCTTTCTCTCGCTGTCTTTCACTCTTTTTTTCTCGCGTCAACTTATTTGTATATTGATCGCGCCTCTTTGTAATTAATAATTGATCGTAGATTCTTTTTTTCGAATATGTATACATTTATATATATTTATATATATATATATATATTTAAACATATATATATAATTTTTTTTCTGCCTGTTTTCAGGAGAGGCTGCCGGAAGAACTCCGAACATCCCAGAGCTGTCATCGCGACGTTATATCGGTGAGTATTTGCATTTTATATTAAAGTCATAAAATTGTTGCGCGAATTGCATTTTGAAGCATACGTAAACCGATATACGACGAGATGAAGAGGTACGAAATTAAAATATATTACTGTTCGAGGAAAGTAGAACGCAACAAAGAAAGATGGATAATTTCTACAATGATTTCAAATGTAGTATTACACATGAGTATAATCGATTCGAGGACAGATTTACTATTTGCATCATAACAAGTGATTGCCTTTTCACAAGTAACGGTATACACATTGTGTGGAAGAAGATTAATATACACCTAAAATATAAAGTTATGCAATTTAATTACCTCCTTATAGAGTGTTCTGCTTTCGTCAAACAGCTGTAAGATAAACTATTGAATCGGAGTATATGCATTTGTTTCTCTTCCGAAACAATTTTTTTTTTGAGAATATTTCTCTTGCGATTGTGAGATTGGCAGTAGTAAATAATTCGATAATCTAGTTCCCGCGAAGCCAACAACTCAACAAATTTTTAATACAGTGTATGAGCTGATCATAATATAAATTACAGTACAACATAATATAAATTATAGTACAACTCATCGTATATATAAGGATATAGACGAAGTGGTCAATCTTTCTATATGTATCGATCTTTTTGCTTAGTCTTTCAATTTACAAACGTGAATTACAAGTGAATTATGCAAGTCACGACTATATTTGTTTCCTAAAATATAAATATATTTGTTTCCTAAAATATAAAATAAAAAGGTTTTTTTATATTTCTTAAAAAGGATACACAGCGTGAATGATGATAAATAATTGTCCAATAAAATTTTTTTTTTAATATTTGATAGCCAGCCAGTATTTAAAAATAATTTCGGTCGTTGGCCCTTTGAACTAGATCGTCGGATCGCGCGATGATTCGTCCCTCTCGATCTCGATTAATACTTTACTTTCGGTTTACGCCACGGTTCTCAAACTGCATCGGTGTTCACGCCGAGAGCACTGTAAAATTTAGCAAGCGGAAAAGAAAAAGGAACGGAAAAAGGAGCCAACCCGACGAAATTTGTAACCTTTTGCGTGAAGATTTCGGGCGGTCGCGAACGAAACTTCGTAATTCTGCCGTCGGATTGAGAGTGGAGTACTTTTTCGTCGTGAACCCGCTCTCGGGCTGTTGTCCGTCGAGCGGATGTTACGCAAACGGCCCGGAATTCTCTCGGCTTTCCCTTCCCAATTGCGAAAAGTTACGACTTGTACGCTTCACTACGACCATCTTCCTTTTGTTTTACTCTCGTTCCTGTCCTTTTCTGTACTCTTTTTTTTTTACACTTTTTTATCTCCTCACTGCGATCTCGCGCGTCTTCTCTTAAGCCTACGTGCGACGAATCTCGCGTTTACGCTCTACTACGTTCTGTTGAGCTGGTGTTATGTCCTTGTTTTACATGTAAGTGTTTGTGTATGTACCGTGTAGTAGTCATCTATATGCCTCTCTTACGAAAAGCCCACCCGTGTTAGCTTTGTGTTGCCTTATTTGTTATTTGCACACATAAAGTATGTCGCTGCGGCCGACACCGTTGTGTCGTATTCCTGTGAATCCATCTCCGTTGGTTGAATTATCACGAATCGAATTAAGATACGTGCTAAAGCGCGCGCGCGCGCGCGATGAACATCTAGCGCGCAACACAAAAGCTCCAGATTCGATTTTCATTCAGCAATACTTCTGCTGCGCAGCGAAACACAACAACTCGCTGAGGGAAACGTAAGATAGGGAATTGCGCGAACGTACACACTTTTTTACAGTTTGAAAGTGGGGATACTTTGCGACTGCAGTACGAATTTGCGAAAGATTCTTCCAAGGAAACAGAGATACACACATGAAAGAGAGAGAGTCTACACACTCAAGAGTATATATATATATACATATATATATATATATATATATATATATATATATATATGTATATATATATATATAAATAAATAAATAAATTTCAGTTAAGTGAGGAGACGAATCGGGAAATTCATGGCGATTAATAAATATTAATTACGGTTAAAGAACATGGAACATGTATTGGAACATGTATTATAACATGTATTGGAACATGTATTATATAACATAGAGGAAGTATATTTAACGACTGTTAACAGATTTAACGTAGAGCACTTTTGGCGTAATGTAATTTACTCATATATAACGCTAAACTTAATTAATGTAATAGCCGTTAATTTAATTAATTACTCAGGGGGATGCTACAAACATATCACTTCTTCATCTGTTAAATGTGACGAGCGTCGCGCATTCAATTTCGATTATTAATTCTTACACTCGCGTCGTCTTGCTCGACTAGTCAGCTGCAAAATGATATTGTAGTCACAAATTATCTCTACTTTACGATCTCTACTCAATCGGCAATCGGGATTTGAATTTGTCACGTTCGCGAACGAAGGGAGAAAATGCATCTTGAAGAAGCACGCACTTAGCTTACTTATTACCTTCGACGCGTCTGAGATGGTTCATACAACTCTCGCTTATCAATGACTATTATTGAACAATCGTCTCGACTGAAATTCTTGTCTCGCTTAACTTTTTGATTAAAGGAGAGCGACTACCCGGATATGCGGTGGATCGCTTCTCCGTGTCTTATGCACAATACGTCTACTCTGAACGTTTTTGCTCGAAGATATCACGCTCCCTCTCCACACTTAAATTAATCTCTGAGCCATATAATGAGACAGCCACCATTTTGTTTTGCTCACAAGGTAACGGGAGGTATCGACAAATGCGGTGATACACACGTGATCGCAGTTCGCCCATTTCGTTCTCCCCTTCCCCGGTCACGATAGACACTACTTTGCCGACTTTGTCTTTTCTCTACTTTCTTAAAACGAACCGAGTTTACGCGCATAATTTAGGAACTTAAGAATACTGGTATTGACGTGTTGACACGCCTTAGCCATTTTGCCGCCGTACGTCTCTTTGTGGTCATGAAGAAGTATTGCTAACGTTTGTTAAGAATTGACTCGTTTGCGCGCGCGTATATATATATTCCTCTCAGTATAGTTGCGTACACGTATACACCCGAAAAAACAAAATGGTGTTGCCGTTCGACGTGACGCACGTATCCAATTTAAAGATATTTCTCTTTCCTTCATTCTTTCTTCTTTTTTTTGTTTACCCTGTTGTTTAATGCAATAATAATAACAGCACGCGCGCAATAGCCGCGCGTATATTCATCGTTCGTATAATTATAATTAATCGACCGATGACACGCTCTCCGGTGAATTCAATCATAGTAATGATAATATGCAATATAAGGAACCGTTTGTTCAGCGATATATAAACGAAACGCGAACGTCCCAGTCGTATAAATTACGCGCATAATTTAATTAAGGGCGACGTGGCCCTTGTCGCCAGAAAGAAGGGAGGAACCTCTCGCGTTAAAACTCTCCGTCAATATACGCCGGGGCTTCTCGCACCCACGCACATGCGCTGTTATATATTTTTCTTTTTTTTATCTTTAAATGCATTGTCACATTACCGCAGCAACGGCCGCTCGGAGTCTTCCTTATGCGTGCGATCTTAGCGCCGGGATTGAAGATCGGAAGCTTTTTCGGCTACGTGTGCGAACGCGTCACGACGCACGTGAAAGAGAGAACGCATCTCTATTAATCTCTGCAATCTTCCATTCGGAGAGAACGCAACGGCGACTGAACGCGTTACGCGCGACGAAGAAGGCACGCATAAGGAGACCTAAGAACTGTGATTTTGTATCAATGTTGGTTAGTACTAATCAAGATTAACACGAAATTCGTTTCCTTTATCTATTATTATTATATTAGCTAAGACTCTCTCTGATCTCTAGAAAGGGATATCAAATCGATAACTCAGAGTTAGTTGAGCGAGACTGTCGATGCAACTTAGCCTACGAATGTTGGTAATTAGCTCGTGGTGCATCCGTAGCGATATATCCATCCGTCAAATCTCTCCTGCGACTCGCCCGGCCGTGAAAAAAAAAAAAACGGATAACACCAGGTGTGTCCGATCACTCGTCCAACCGTCCGGAAGTTCACGCCTTGAAGAATCGAGCCTGACCTCGCGTCCAATCGAAATTCCTCTCGTCTTTCCGCGCGCAATGTCCATAAGGTCACGACAAAGTTTAAATCTAACACTCCCGAATCGTCGCGAGTGATCTGTCGGGATCTTCGCTCATTCACTCGTCAATTGGACCGTGTTATGCAATCTAGAGTCGTACGAGCTAAGCGATCATCCGAAAGGAAAAAAGTAGTAGCACGGATACTCCTTTCAAGGGAAACTCGGAGAAATGATTTCCGGAATCGCGACGTTGCATCGCTTGTTTGTGTATCCGTTCATATAATAACATGGTTCAATTGAGGCTCACGGATGTCAGAAGGGGCTCGCCTCGCGTTCTCGTCGAGCGGAATTTTGGCCTCTTTCAACATCCAGAATTGAATTGAACTGGAAGCGCGAATGAACGCAGCATCCGATGTCCAGCCGTTCCTTTGCGATATATAGATGGTTATAATATAATGTTCGCTCTCACGTTTATGTCTTTCCTCGCTAGCCCGTTTAATTCCTAGATCTAATCGCGACGCTACTGGCGATCGCGCGTTTTTTTATCTCTAAAAAGTAACGCTTACGCACTCTCACGCGCACTTTTATTCACCCCTTTCTCTCTCTCTCTCTCTCTCTCTCTCTCTCTCTCTCTCTTGCTCTCTGCCTTTTTCTCTCCCCTCTCTCTCTCTTTCATTCTTTCTCTCTCTTTCTCTCCCTCACTATCTCTCTCTCTTTCTCTCCCTCTCTCTCTCTCCCTCTTTCTCTCGTATATAATTTTAGGGGTATTTTGTTTCTTTTTTTTTCCATAATATCTCCTCGTCCTCTCCCATTAAGTTAGCGTTTGAAGCGCATCGTCGATTGACGCTCTGTACACCGCGGACGAAGATTACGCGATATCTCTATGTATACATTTGCTAGCTCCTCCCTTCAACTCGATCTCCTCTTCCGATAATTTGATCTCCCCCTGTATGAATCTTATTTAGGTTCGCACCTACGTCGTTTAACGCCGACGCTGGTTAACCATAAATTTCCTTTGTCCGTCTGTATATTACGAGTAAGACTATAATTTAGCGGAGGATAATGAATTGCTAACCAGCGTTAGTTAATCCGGACTGTCGGTGTAACTCAGCCTTAGACGATTAGACGCCGGGGATGTGGAGCGTGTGTTGTATCTTTCGTATGTGTGTGTATGTGTGTGCGTGTTGTATCGTGTGCGGCGTGTTTGCGTGAATGTATGCACGCTTGTCTGTATGAATGTGTGTTATGTGCTGCGGTTGTTTGCCGCTTTGAAAGAAACTCTCCTTTCTCTTTTGTTACACTAGCTCATCTCTATAGAGTCATGCATATACGGCGTTACTTTAAATCAATTACACGGTAATTCGCGCGTACGCGTAATATGTGTGTATATTGTAACAGGGGTTACTGCACGTAGTCGGTTTTAAAGCTATACAGTGGCCGATTAGATTCATAACAGTCGTCGTCCGGCGCCTCCGGAAGCGGAAACTCCGAGCGGAACATCGAAGCGAGCGTTCGGTGTCAATTAGAATTACGGAGCGACGCGAATCGACACCGTTCATATCCCACTGTTTCGAAAAGCGAGGAGGCCATCACGCAAGCTGAGTGAATGAGACTGATAACAAATAGTACTCTTCGAGATTCCTTTCGAGTTAGCGCAAAGTATCTTATTGCCATGAAACATGATGACATTTCTTCGTCGAGTTTGCAATTATGAACTCATTGTAATTGCGGCGCACACGCGCATCGTGCGGTCGCGTTTTGCTCATTGGGATATGAACGGCGGATTCGTCGGCGAAATGCAGCTAGGGAGCTTCCGCCACTCTGTGATTCTAACGACATCATCTAGCACTGTTTCTTCCTCCTGGAGGGTCTTCCGCTGTTGCCCTTCTTGCCGTGTTCTCGGGCTCGCCTCGTCGTCGCGAAATTCGACGCAGTCTTCTTGCACGTTTCCCTCTTCTCGCAAGTAATGCTAACAGCGTGACGTCAAATATGTAACACGCCTATGTATGTAACTTCCTCGCTCGCCCGCCACTATATCCCTCTTGTTCTTCTTCATTTCTTTCTTTTTTTTTTTTTATCTTGTTGCACACCCGGGAAAGCAGGACTGCGACAGGACAGGAGAGAAGCACCGTTCCGCTATTTAGCCAGCGAAAAGGCACGTTGGGAGAGAAGAAGGAGCTCGTGTCTCCACGCGGAGACGCAGAGAAAGGGCGGCAAAAACACCTCTCGATTTATCCATCTTACTTCTCCTCTTTTTGTTTCCATTTTTTTTTTCTTTTCATCGGCCCTTGTCTCCCCTCTCCTCTTCTCTCTTCTCCGCGTCGTCGTTCTCCTTGGCCGACATTAAATTCCTCAACCTTACCCGCGCATGCGATTAAAACTTGAAAGCCCGGAAACAAAAGTCTTTCCCAGGTGTGAACGCGTGCGCGTGCCTATCGTTATGTAATAATATATATTTACGCGGGCAATCGCCATAGTAATTATATAATAATTAATAGTTATATATATATATATATATATATATATATATATAATATATATATATATATATAATAATATTCGTGAGTTGGTATCTTTCTTCCGCCTCTCTCTCTTTTATCTGCCTTAAATACTAGAGGTCATACGTTTTTATCTCGTCTAATATAATTATCAATTATTTATATATTTATATATATATGTATATATATATATATATTTATATATATATCTTTATATATATATATACTATTTATATATTCTAGACTTAACCGCTTAAATATTTAGCAATTAATAATATTAATTTAATTTATTATTATTATATTATTATTCCTTCTCTCTTTTTTTTTTAATATCGGAGAACGGGCTGGCGTCAATACGCAGTTTCGGCCACAGCTAAACCTATTGCAGCGCGCGTTGCCTTCTCTTTCTTTTTCCGTCTGACGGTCGGTCGGTCGGTCTTCCTGTCGCTCTCCTCTCGTTATTTCTCTCTGATCTTCTCTGGACGTGCGTTGGACGTGCGTAGTCTTCTCCTCGTTGCGCTTTTCCCACTTCTCTAGCAGTGTTCTCGTGCTTTTCATCTCTATTTACTCATAAGCTGCATCCAACCTCCGTAGATCCGACTAACGGTCTAAATTCTTCGCCTTAATGCGTTGTCGATATTCGCGTAATATTACGTCCAGTTGTCTACAACCTGGACTTTGAAGTTGCATCGATTGGATCTTACTCGATTGTTGCCTTCTACTCGATATTATCTATTTTTTTTTCTTTTTTATTTTTTTAATGCATCGCAACTTTCGATCGTCATTTGCAGTAGTCGTGTATATATGTGTTTTCTTTTTCGTCCAGAGATTATCCACTGTATTCAGCTGCCTCAAAACTCCCGTTGCTTATAATGTCATCAGGCGACCGTGCTGCGTTCTGCCGTCTCGTCCATCCTGGCGAATAGAAAATTGAGAATTTATCGAATCACATCTAAACGCGAGATTTCTTAATTTTCTTCTCTTTTTGTTGATTCTTGGATAAATTCGAGTGCATAGACGTTAAGCTTTACTCTCCGTTTCATTAATATTAGATGGATTACTAGAGAGGACAAAACCTTTTCTTTCGTATCATTGGTGTGCATTGGTCGCTCGTGCATCTTCGTGCGAGAAACTGTGACGGTAGAGACAGAACTTGACCGTTTTATTCGCAGTAAGCATTCGATGTGATCTCACTTTAAAACGACAAAATCTACAGTCTACATTCGGCGGGATATTTTCGGCGGCGCACGTACCTGTTATTAGGTCTTAACAAGGCTCAATGGTAGCCATTAGTGAACGCCGCCGGTATGAGAGGCCCCTGGAACAGTAGAAGATATCGGTCTCATCAACCTTTCCATAAAAATAACGATTATTACACAAGAGTGAGCGCGCAGATAAACCCTTGCGCTTGCCTGCATATCTAAAATTGCGGCGTGCAATTGCGGTACTTGGCCTTCGAGGTTGTAATCACTTTTGTGCTATTATTCTCCGTAATATTCGATGTAAGGATAATGATAAGTGATAAGATGCGAGGGACGTGATTGTTACATTGGAAAATCTCGGGTAATATTGAACGTATTAATATTGCAAATATAAATAGATAGAAAGAAAGAGAGAAAGAGAACGATAAATAATGAATCAGAGAAGTTTCTCCTAGAAACGATATTAAGTATAATCTTCCATAATAAGTCAATGTAATAATTGTCATACTATACCTGACGGACCAGAGACGTACTCGCAAAATATAGAATTAGAATATATAGGATGTAAAGCGTACGATATATAATAATATATGTACAGTATGGAAGCAAATTTCTTCGAAAGATTGACAACCGGTTGCATTTGAATGTTTGCTAGAATGGGCATTGCACCCACATTTGCTTGTCGTACAGATGCACAAAGCTAGTGAAATTGCGGTATGGAACGAAACGATAAAGAGCTTGGTCGACACGCGGGTAGATCGAACAGAATTCCTCGATTATTTCCGCGGTAACGTAAAATGCGCTTCTAATCTCTGCGTGCAATATAAGTTCTCGAACACAAAGCCGTGAGTATCTCGTCCCTCGTCGATTTCATTTAGATGATCCGCCTTACCGGCTACGAACATTTGTCAAGAAGACAGACAGCACCGCGGTGTGTACATTCAACGAAGATACTTTAGCGGACTCGCTACTCGTCACAACTAAAACGCGACGTGAAAGCTTCTTCTCGTATTAGTCTCTCTTTGTAATCGTCTCTAGCCTGGTAACCACGGCTCTGTGCTATACTTTCCGGTCCCTTCCAGTTCTCCTCGTATCCGCGTCAGTTACGAAAATTCCATTTGACCGGCGGAGTTCCTCTTACAAGACGGAAAACGTCCCGTTTATTGCCGACTCGAGGCACCAAAAATCGCGCATACTATGTGAATAGTCTGTGGTGTAGGGATAAGTAGAATGACAAGTAGATAATGTGCGACCATTGCGCTGCACTCTCGACCACGCTCTTCGTCTTTTCGTTCCATTTCTCTCGGGAGGGGCCCGATTCGGTGATAAAGGGGAAGCATTAAGTGGACTTACGGGACTGTAGTTGAGCGGGGCGCGGGATACGGCGATCGCGGGGAACGCGGTCGTGGGGGGCTGCGGGCTAGCTGCGGCCTGGACGTAGCTTGCGACGGAATCCGCGGCTGCGACTGCTGCTGCGGCTGCGGCGCCCGAGCTGTACATGTCAATCGGGCCCGGCGAATTGGCCGCCGGGAATGACCGGCCCTGCGGCCCACCGTGGCCGCCGGCCGCGTGCGGCGACGCCGGCGGGAATCCGGCCTGTGCTGCGGCCGCCTGGTAGTTGTTCATCACTGCAACGAACTCGCGTCAATGTTCACCCTCTCAACCCGAGACGTCGCGGACATCGTCGTCGCGACGAGGGCGAGCCTCGGCCAGAAGCTCGCCCTCGTCCACCGCGCAGGGACTCGTGGAAATTGCCGCGCGCGGACTGTTAACTTGTTCGGGAGCCATTGAGATCCTCAACTATCGTGGTCTGATTTAGGTAATTCGCGGTTGCACGTGATAACGGTGCAATCTCATCATTGACTGGTTTATTCAGTTTCGTGATGAGTGAAAGAAATTGGCCGCTAACATTGCAACATAGTTTGAGATCGCGTGTTTCTTTGCGAATCTCACGAAGTAAATGCGTCGACGGTGGTTTTGCTCGCGCCATGTTAGTTGAGGACTCGGGAGGACCTGAAAAGTGTCTGATTGTTAAACGACGCGAAGTCGCGTTGATACTTTTTCTTTTTTTTTTCCATTTGCAGCACACGGTATTTCGCAACGACCGAATGTCCGAGTAACAATTCATTTATTAGACGCGAAAGTTGAGATTATTTCATTCCACTTGTGATAGCGACACGAGCGTTGCATGCCTTATCCCACTTAGGAATCTTCCATGCAAGTACCTTGAGGCACGTGGTTGCTCCGTTGGCGTTCGCCCCGAGTTTTTAGCTTTTTCCGCCTCTTTCCGCTTACTAATATCAGACTCGTTTCACTTGTACAACGATACGCTCTCCAGCGGGTTAAATTTCATTAAAGATAAGATTCTTTAACCTCGTACACACTAATGTAACGTTTCTCGTAACGAGCCCACGCCCATTCGTGCACACGTGAACGACGGAGATCTCTGGTCTACACTTTACTTCGAGGAGACCGTGCCGTGTGTCTAGCGCGGTTTAACGATCGCGTAAATGCGATTACACTGACTGGTATCACGATACACACACTGAATACAAGGAGAAGGATAGAGTCCGTTCAACGAGCTTTTTCGCAATGCATTTCATCGAAGACAGAGAAAGAGAAAAGGGAAGGGAAACAAAATAGAGGAGAAAATAAAAGAGAAGACACTCATGAAGCGTATTGCAAGGCAGCCGCACGATCATTGAAATAACAATTAAAAAAAGCACCTTGCACATATATGTATGTATGTATGTATATACGACATTGTACAACACGTCGCTGGAACAAGCAACGCAATCGCACGAGACAGTGATGTCGACCGATTTGAGAAGTTATGCGAGAGAGAGAGAAAGAAAGAGAGAGAGAGAGAGAGAAAGAGAAAGAGATAGATACAACAGGCTTCCGACTACACGTATATCGCTCTCTATAACATTTTGGTCCGCACGAGGACTAACTTCCCTTCGTGCTGTTAAGAAGTCAGGCGGGGCGAAGATTGCGCACGGTTGGTTCGATTAGAGACAGAAAACTAAACTTACCCCATTGCGCGTTCAGCTTTCAGAGTAAAGACCCCATGAGAATACAAACGAGGGAAGCGGGTGAAACGAAGGTAGCGCGGACAATCGCAGCGTCTGGTGTGCAACCAAGAGGATAAGTTCGAAATCAAATTCGCGTCATTATATTTCGAAAAAGAGAAACGCGCCTCCTCTCTCGGCGGTACCGATGTTAGACGAGTCTGCGGAGAAATTGCGGGTCACAAGGCTAATTTAATTAATGAGTTTCGTTACTCTTCTCGCGCGCGTCAATTAGCGCGCGAGTAATAAAATTCCGAGATCGGTTTTACGTCCTTCCTGAAAAATTTTGCGAAGCGAACTGATCCCCTCTCTTGCACCGAATCCAGTTATTGGCAGGAAAGCGATAGTTGCCAGAGGTAATTGAAAAAAAGAAGAAAAAACTTGCAGGATATATTTTCTCCTCAAATAAGCGAATATCGAACAATACTTTCTGACAGTCTAAATTTTCTTGGCACTTTCGATGGCACCATGATTTTCTTTCTTCTCACAAATGATTACACATGCTGTGCTACTTTCAAACTTCGACGATGGAGGATACGTGTCAGTTTTCTGCAACTTTCCTTGCAGTGTGAGCGTGCCAACAAATAATGTGTCTGACTCACGTGCGCACACGCACACACAATAACCAGGATTAATGGAAATACCAATGTAATTACTGTATTTGCAAAATCAATTCTCGCACATTTCTTTCCGGACTCTGCCAACAACTGCTCCTCGTATAATGGGCGAGCAAAAGTAACAAGGGGCGAAATCATGGCGGAACTACTTTGCGTTACCCTCGAAGCTATATTGCACACGGGGAAACAGTGTCTCGGCGCGTCGTCCGCATTCCAAAACTTTCGCACTCGTAAAAAGTCTGACAGATATCCAATAAGAAGCGGCGGAGATTAATGCATCTGACTCGAACGATACCGCGTATCGCGCTCACGTTGCTCGCGCGCTCGCGTAAATGTCATACGGTACGTACTTCTGGATTAACGGCGGTCACGAAAGCGCAAGAGGAAAAAGACGACGAGAGAGAGAGAGAGAGAGAGAGGGGGGGAGAGAGGGAGAGAGAGAGAGGGAGAAGAAAGGAGAAGAAAAACAAGAAGAAGAAGAACAAGAACAAGAAGAAGACGACCACGACGACGAAGAGGAGATGAAGGGAATACGGGGGGGTCGTAAGCGGGCGGTACGCGAAGAATTTGAAACTCTCGCGAGGGTGGCGAGGACAAGAGGGGGCGAGGACGGCGGCGAGGCTGCGGGAAACCGAAAGCGCCCCGGCGTACAATCTAAAAACCCATTCAGCTTTTAAACTCTTGACAATGGCGGCCGGTTACAAAGTTTTGTGCCAGTGCCGTAGGGAGGGAGGGAGGAAGAGAGGTGCGCGTGGAGCCGCGGCGGAGGGACGAGCGCGATTCAAAAGTTTGATTTATTTGAGAGGAGATTGCGGACGGCACGACGGCGCGACGGCGGGCAGATCGGGGGCAGATTCCAGATGGGGAGGACGAGGGGAGAGCGAGGGAAGAAGAAAAAAAAAGAGAGAAAAAAGAAAATAAAAGAGAGGCGGCGTATTTCGCTGCCGGCATCTCGGCGCCCCCGGCGTGCGCGACACTTCTCTTGCCGGAGGGATGACGCCGGCGTTTCCCGCCCCTCTCACATCGCTCGCTCTTCTTCCCTCTCGCTCCCTCGTAACGATTTCTCGTGGCGATTCGACGGCAGGCGATCGCGCGAAGATTAAGGGACGAAAGTAACGAGACGGTATCTATTAATACCGCCATGTTGCCTTCAGTCGCGAGGAGACGTCCATCTTGGTGCGATGAGACAAGGCGTGCGTCTCGAGAGACCGCAGGGGGTTACGCAAATCCGTGAAGCAAAAAGAGAGGCAAATACGGTCTCGTTACTTTACATTCGCATCTGGCGAGAATAGCGTTGCGCAGTCAGCGCCGTTTGACTTTCCGAGGAAGAGCTTTCGTTCTCAGGTCAGCCGAAGCTAGCGATACACACTTGGCTATAACCGTTAAGTACGATTCTACACAGAACAGTCATGCGGTATAATCATGCTCAGTAAAGCAGCCATGCTCTCCGTTGTTCGCGTTCACGGGTCGGGAATCGCCTGGTGAAATTACAGACATTAACCGAGCGAAATCTTTCTCTCGACCGTTACTGTCCACGGCAAATGGAGATTGATTCGTGAGAACATCGAGTAACGTTAAATGCTACAATTGGGGGAGGGCATCGAGTGACCCGATGTTCCGCGAAATTATCCATCCTGTAAACAGAATTCAATTTGTGCCAATGCCAAACGACACCGAAATGACACGGTGAGAGAGCGGGCGCGGATACCCAATTCGAACGCAATGTCGCGTTGCGACGTTTTGTCGCAGTATTTCGTTCGGCGAGGCTTTTCCAGAGGGTTACCTCTTTCCCGCGGACTATCGGCCGATTTCGCGTTCAGTTAACGATAAAGCAGCCACTGAAACTGTTTGTTTGCATTTCCGTGCGAGTCGATAAAAGCGCATTACGTTCGCAGCATCGAGTATAGAAGAGAAAAGACTTTTTCAGACGTACCAGAAAGTGCTTGCGTAAGTAAGGGCGTGTTGTTGTTTGGGGTGAGCTGTCCATTGGTTAGATCCACTGAAACATAAAACTTCGGTCACAACTGCGCCGCACTTGCAACGCGCGTATGTGCTTTCGCTATTCATTTCCGTTGACTGTCACTCGACAAATATACGGCCCGAGAGCTAACGTACATTAAAAAAAAAAGGGGAAAAACGAAAAGAGAATAGAACACAACGAACAGAGAAGTGATGGCGCGCCAGATGGATGACTGAAAAGGAAAACAGAACACGGCGGAGCAGTTATTTATCCGAGTGTGTTGCTTTGTCAATCGTCTCTCTTGTTTTCGAGTCTCGTTCCCGAGGACGCCGACGAGGATCCCTGAGGTATGCGTGCCGTCTGTCTCTCGTCTTCGGCGACGCCCGGACGCGAGAAGCGTCTCTTGGAGGCGTTCGTTTAGGTGTTGGCGTCCCCCCGTCAAGGCGTTATCACGCCCGTTGGACGATAAGAGTTCGCGCGTGTAAGGAAACACGTCGGAAATAACGGAAGCGCCAAACGTCGCCGAAAAATGTGACAGGTGTTTTCTCGGTGCACTTAGAGAGCTTTCGCTCGTATCGACGGTATCAGCTTTCTCCATCGAGGCGGGGATGCTCGAAACCGTGTTGGCGTTTACCACCGCGACTACGGGTTTCGATTCGGATGCATCGACTGGCTGCGACAATAATGGAACCTACGAGTATCGATCGCCGTCGAAACTACGGCGCGAGACTCCCTGGAGTAGCACTCGATGCATCGAAATGCACTTCGGTATTAATATGCATTTTCCGTGCGGAAACAGACGGAAGGCAGAAACGTACGAAACGCGATAAACGAGGCGGGACGATTCGAGAAGAATGCTCAGAGAAATGGTTGTACTTCGAAAGATCGCGCGCATGGGGGATTTCTGCGTCCCAGATAGAGAACCAGAAAGAGGAAAAAAGAGGAGAGAGAGAGAGAGAGAGAGAGAGAGAGAGAGAGAGAAAAGAGAGAGAAAGAGAGAAAGAGGCCGACGATGACGAAGAAGGTACACGAGCGTGTATGTAATATGTGTGTGAGAGAAAGATAGATGGAGAGAAAGAGAGACAGAAAGAGATAAAGAGAGAAGGAAGTGTTTCAGTGCGTATTTCGAGCAAAGTGAATGTCGACTTCATACATTTCTTCCGGAGTGCATTGCGTTGGACATGTTGCATCGGCGCCTCCGTATACGCGCGGCCTGCATTCTCACTTCCTGTTCCGTGGTAGTACACCGCTGGCACTCCTGACATTATAAAGAACAAGAAGAAAGCTGAGAATGATGAGAAAAACAAAAAAAAAAGAAATAGGGACAGGGAGTACGTTCTGTAACGCGAATTGTTACCGGGTGTAGAAAAAGAAAGACGGTTATTCGTGTCGACGTACTGCGTGAATTAATTCTGAGATGTGGATATATTCTACGAATATACAATACGCTTGTGTACTTATGTAGTCGGTGTAGTTTGCAGGAAACGTGACGCGAATATGCTATATTTGTCAACGTAAATTTGCATTAGTGTAGAAGTTATTTGGTGGTACAAAATTAAAGAAATATACGTTTTATGTGCGCTCCGCATATATAATCTGCGTGATTTAACACGCGGTGAGTCATTATTAACGTTTGCGCGTTATATCAGGTATTGCTCGAATTTCGTTCTCTTCATAGTTATCAGCTAAAATGAAGTCATCACGCATTACGTGAACATCGACAGAAAGATAGAAAGAAAATAAAACGTGCTGTGAAGAATTTATTAAAATATTTAAGATTAACGTATCGCGCGGGGAGAACACAGCTCCAACCTGATCAATATTAGATTGTAATACGTTATGCGGGAGGATAATGGATAAATATAAAATGCAGTAGAAGTAGCGAAAATAAAAAGGGATGAAACTCGTATGTTTTCATACGTGTATCAGAGCGACGTGGTCATAACGTAAAATACTAAAAATTTAAATTTACACGAGTCGAAATTTTCCTCCTATATTTTAACTTTGCACATTCCGTCAAGTCTGAAGGAATAATAGAGGATCTCGGGATATATAACATTATACATTATAGATATTGTTCTACTCTGATAACATAAATTTGATAACGCGTTTTTTAATCTGCTTGTTTGAATATTTTTCACCTGCATTTAATCTTTACTTTTAAAACTTAAAAACAAACGCAAGGCATTTTGAATATGCCAACATTTTCTGTTCATTTCTATTTAATCTTGTTACTATTTTGATCGAAATTTAAATTTCTACTAGCGTGTAGCATTATCAGATACACAGTTGCAATGTTTGCTTTCACAACTTCTCTTCTTTATATCGTTTTAATCTCCAAATGCTCTCGTCATTTCCAACGCCAATAAGAAACAATAAAAATATTATGAATATGAGAATGTTTATTCTTGTTAATTATTTAATGTTTGCTTGCTCATATACTGTATTTGCAACTGAACAAGATACATAATTAATATATTGATGATTGAAATTAATAGTCAATGCAGATAGAATATTGAGATAATTGAATATTAAATAATCCTGAAATAAATTCTTTCTAAGGACAATTCAGCGTGACAGAAATAATATTAAGTAATAATTTGTAGCATTGAAATGGAACAATCGTCTTATTTAGTATTATACTTGTAGATTCTACATTTCCCTCAAATTGATCGGAATAGGCAGGATAAATGTACAACTCGGGGAAATTTCGACTCGGATAGCGCTTTATATTTGAGCAATTTCCGCAAAAGTTTCACGCGAATATTTGCAGGCATTGTATGTATCCCCGCGCGGAAGCTTTTTATTCAGATTCGAATTTTCCATGCGCCCAAAAATTTCGTCACATCCAGCCAATGTGGCGCTATCGCGATATGTAATCGCGTATGAAACACCGTGGTGCTTTCAGGGAGGGATAGCGGAAGGCAGGCAGGGATGGAATTTTTATCTTTATTCAAAGCAAACATAAATTGTGTTATGCGTATAAGCGATTGTGCAAATTGTATTTGTGATATGCGTGAGTAGTCTGAGAGTAGAGGGAAATAGACGGGAATATCATTGAAGATCGAAATGGTGTGTTTTTGATACGCCGTTAATATGAGGGAAGGGAATGATCCTACTCTATACTGTCGCAACAACGTGTTTTCATGGAGAAGCCTCGTTTCGGCCGAGCCAACCATCGGCACTGATAACGCGATTGCGAGAGAGGGTGAATGGACCATAAATCGTGGATCGACGTGATTTGTATGGGGTATCGCGGCGCTTAATGGTGTGGCTTGTCTCTATCGACATGCTTTGACCGGAAGTTCCGAGCCATAGTTAGAGGGAAATACTCTGTAGACCTGTCCGCCGAAGCCTGACGATTTACGTGCACTCATATCTTGTCGATGCTCTGCAACGTAAATGAATCGCGTCTGGCGAGTGCGCGGGAATCACATAAATAAAAAAAAAAAAAAATACGCAGAATGCCCCGAGATATTATCACGCGATATCTTCAAGACGGTCTGTGCGAACGTGTCGTGAACTTACGTGTGTCGTTAATGATTAAGTCCAAATTATTACGAGATATTAATTATCGATGGTCGTACGATGACGGAAACGCGCGACAATAAATGTTATATAAAAAAAAAACACGACGGTAATATGTTAAATTACATGAGCATGTTAAAAATTTAACACGAAAGTTTTTACACGAATAGACTTCAACATATATACAAAAATACAAATGAATACAAAAATGCTTTTTTTACCCTCTAATAATTATAGATCTAATAGGGGAAAACGCTCAGTAACCAGTTTTTAGCAATTTTGTTCATAAATCATCAAAAAGTGTACAAGGATTTACTAATTATTTATTAGTTATTCATCAATTTATTTATTATATCTCCTTATTTTCATTTTCCTTTAAATTTTCTTAAACCACTAAAAATTTAACACAAAAGTTTCTATACGGATCGACTTCAACATAAATACTTATGCAAAAATACAGTTAAATACAAAAGTGCTTCTAATAATACTAGATCTAATAGAGGAAAATGTTGAGCAATAAATTTTCAGCATCCTTGCTCATATCTTATAATAAATTATTAAAAAATATATAGGAATTTTTTAGTTATTTATTATATTAATTATTATTTTATATTTTCTTATTTTTGCTTTCTCTTAAATCTCCGTGAACCTTAATATCTGATGAAAGATGCACGCGAGAGTGCCGAAAGCAGATAGAGTATCGACTACTGGACGTTTCCCCTGAAATATTCGAGCGTTAATAAAGCCCCGTGTATCGCGCGGCATACGGCGTGTTTACCGCCTGCTTATCGCGGCGCGCCAACGGTCGCGCGCCCTTGACGCGCGCTGAAAGTCTCGCGACAATAGACACGTAGGCTTACGTCTCATAACGGTTTCCAACGCCGAGACGAGTACATCGGATCGCGTCGCGCACTTTTCCCGACTTTTCCTAATTAGTGAAAACCACTGTGTGATATTTTGCACGCGCGATTATTGTGCTGTGTCCATCGTGAGTCGCGGGGCAACGTGAAATCTAAATGGTGACTATCGCAGCCCGTTTTGATTAGATTTAGAGGAAAAACACGATCAAAACTTCCGTGTTCTTGACTTCCTTACACACGAATAACCTCTCTATTAATCGGGAAAACTACTTCTTGTTGCGGATCCGGCAGAGGTTGCGGCCGCACAGTAAATGCAGGACTTGAGGATGTAGTTGGGAGGATGCGGATGCAGCACCGGAGGATCCGGTTCGGGCAGAGCAGAGTCGGCTCGAAGGTAGATTTCATAGACTCTATACGCTATTCCCTTTAACCCTTTGGATCGTAAATCGAGAAATAGCTGTCGGAATGAGTTGCGATCGCAAAGAGCTAATCCGTTCGTATCTCTATGTACAATAAAGCTAACTGGTGGAATTGTCCTTTCCAGATCTGTTCCAGAACGTGGCCGGCTTTGAGCTGCAGGCATTCGGTGAGTCAAATGAAACTGGGTGATAAAAACAATTAAGGTGGCGGGTATTTACAAAATATCGTTGGAGTCAGTGTGACTTACTTTGCTGATAGATTTTTGCATGTATGTGTACGTGTTGTTAAACAAAAAATACTGCTCGAAATAGCTAGAAGATCACTAATTTAAATGCCTATATCACTCCTTAGACGTTTGAAGTGTCGAAAATATATTTTTATCTTACTATCTAAATTTCTTTAAAATAGATATTTACATATTTTATATATATAAATTATATAATATATAATAATTTTTAATATCTGGAAAATTTAAAAGCCTAAATTAAAAAAAATTTTTTTTTAAAAGTCTCTATTAAAACATTTATATCATATTAAGAATTATATCATACAACATATTTTTGTTCAAATATGATATTTTTTTCCTTTTATATGAATTTTTGACTATATAATTCAATAGAATTTTTTATTCAATGCGGTCTCCTGATTGTTTCGAGCAATATACAATGTGCATCAGAATTGCGCCACCAAAAGTAATCTTTGCAACAAATATTGCGAAGCCATTGTGCGTGAAATTTCACGCCACTCGCGAAAGAGAACTCCGCTCGCACACCGCGTACAATGTAAATTAAATTTTGCAATTGTTGCGATTAACATTCAGTTCACAATTTCTTACATATTACCATCGCGATTATTTCACTCGCGGATATGTCGCGAATTTCAATTTGCGGTACTCGTTGTCGATTTTTTTTCACACAATTTACGTTGCGATTTTGAGTTTTAAAACGGCTTTATGATACCTTGAGTCAAAATTTAGAATTTACTGTAAGTCCTGTAAGCGCTGATTTGATTCGAATAATACTTTCCGGACCTCAAGTCTATAAATGCTTTTGGATACAGAACAATTTCTTCCTTTTTATTCCTTTTAAGTTTCTGAATCACATTAAAATGCTGAAAGAAAAATAATAAAGAGTTTATGAAGCAAGAAAGTTTCTTTTATTTACTTACTTATTAATTTTTGTTAAGTTATTTATTCTTATTGTGTGTATATACTCTATCTGCAATCAAGTATGATATCTAATTAATATATTGTTTATTGAAATTAAGAATAAAGATTCAATACAGATATTGAGATAATCATGTATTAAATAATTCCAAAGCATCAAAAGAGGACAATAGTGTTGCGCATATTTTGAAATAATGTTACATTTCAAGAGTCTTCATTGATCCTTCAAGTTAAATGGAATATGCTCAGGCTTAAATATAGAATCTGAATTTCGACTCATAGTTT